AGATTGGGCCATATCCCCACTTGCATCAAACCAATACAAACCCACTTTGGAAATATCTTTTGTTCTGCTGGATCCCCCAATGCGGCCTTCATCTCATCCCCAGCCCATGAACGGGACGGGGCCAAGCCATCCTTAGCTGTATGTGTTGAAGTAGTATTTTCCCTCTTATTCCATCTGAGCTGTGTCAAATCTGTTGCGTTTGGTCACTTTGGAGGAATTTCAGCCCCTGGGGAAAGAGGCCATTGAAGCAGGAGAGGAGCTGAACATGGACAGCACATTTGATGCTGGGATTTTGTTTTCGGGCAACTGAAGGGTGGGTAGAAAGCACTGTGTGTCTTGGGAATGGGGAAAGTCCCTTAGAGTTTTAATTCTGAGGCTCAAGGCTTACTGACGTGCAATAGCTAGGAAGAATCATCTTCCCACCATTACTGTCAGAGAGATACCGAGTGACATTCTAAGGTACACTCACGTGCATGCCTTATGTGGAAGTTCTCAATGCTCAATCTCACTGTTTGTTTGTTTTTGGGAAGACAGCAATAATCTTAAACTTGCATGGTATAGTTGCTAAAGCAGTGGAGAGCAGAGATTTCCTCCACTGAGGAGCCTGGAATCAAGTCTGCATCTCAGCCTGGTCCACCACACAGGGTTGCTGTGAAGGGATACCCTCAAGAACACCCATGACATTGAACATCCATGACCAGGGCTCATTTTGTAAAAAAAAAAAACTTTGTAAAATAGTTAGATGATGGTGACAGTAAGAAGATGCACATATGTAAAAATAATTGTAGGGATGTGCAGTGCTTGGGATGTGAAGGCCAAATGGTGTTTCAGAGGGCACAAGAGTACCTATGTAGCACCTTACCCCAAGCACATCTTTTTGTGGAACTGGGAAAGCCACACCCTCCTGGGAAAAGATACAGCTGCTTTAAAGAGCCGCAAACAGGTCTGACATGATCACCCCAAAGTATCTTTTCATCTTCAAATCCCAGGCACTGCCCAGTCATATGAATCACTTCTGTTCAGAAATAATATTATTCATTTAATTCCAGGTAATCATGTGTAGCTAGCCCCAGTTTGGCATTTCCAAATATATGAGGACTGCAACTCCCAGTCTATTTTGAAGGATATATTTCCCTGTGGAAAACCAATGGTGAATTCTGATCAGGGTAACTTCACCTATGAAAGCTTCCAATAAAATGGGGAACAGCTCATTCTCTCCCCTCCTTTCAGCTCCATGCAGCTCCTTGCACCTGTCTTTCCACCTCTCTTTCCTCCCTGCAAGTTGGGGGTCTCTAGAGCCAACTTTGGGAGGCTCAGAGGCTGGGAAAGAAGGGAAGAAAGGAAATTGAGTTGCCTAAGGAGACTTGTGCTACATTGGGTGGAAGGTATGACAGCTGAAGTCATGACCCACTTATTCTCTTGCTTTTGAAAAGATCCACATTCAGCTGAATTAGGTGGGCTTCACTGAACTGGCTTCCTCCCAATCTGATCTTCTGCAGATGGGTTGGGACTTCCACTTGAAACATGGCTCCTGGTGAATGTCATTTAGGAGATGACAGATCAGCCTCATCCCAACTCAGTGGAAATTTAATCTTGTTGGAGATTTCTAATTTTCTGGACACGGAATGACTTCTCAGGGCAAGTTCTGCCTTTTGCCTTCCAAGAAATGAGCTGTTCCCACACCCAGTGTTGACCATTCCTGAAAGTTGGGTCAAAAACATGGTTCCTTCTGCTCCTCCCCTCCCCTGTCATATTTCACACAAGGGTGAAGTTGCTCCACGTCTCGCGTGCAGCCCTGGCTCCTTGTTCTTGAAGCCCACTGCAAGGAAGAAGATCTACAGAACACAAAACACAGCAGCTTGTAGTCCGATGGTGGATAGGAAGCGTTGAGACTTCCAGCAAAATCAACGTATTCAGTGAGTGTGGGTATGCGTGTATGCATGTATGTATATATGTATCTCATTTATATATGTATGTGCGTATATATGCAATCATTCATCTCTGGTTATAAGAAATATTTCCCATAAGAAATCTATACAATCAGCAGCAGTCAGAGGAAAAGAGTCTGTTTTTTTTCTGCTGTGGGAATCAAATTTGAAGATCATGTTTTCCTTTGCTTAGCTGAGTTTCAGTGACTTCATTCTTCACCATCTTTTTTTTTTTTTAAAAAAAATCCATTCTCCCCAGGCACAATAATGAAAGAAATTCTGTTTTCTCAGGCACGCTAAGAGCCTAGCTCTGCATTTCACACCGATATAGCTAATGAACGTTCATAGCTGCTTTTTACAAAGGAGCCTAGCCACCCGAGGAGAAGCCGCTGTCATGAGGGAAAGGGGAATAATGTTGCCCTTCTGGCTTCTCCCCACTGAGTCTCGTCCTGGTTAGCCGTGCACAGGGGTTTCAGCTTGCACAAAGATTCCTTGCATTGCCTCCTCTTCTCTCCAACCCTCCTCGACGTCCTACGCCTTCCTTCCAGCACGAGACATTTTTAGCAGCCGTGCTCCCATTACAGCCAAGAAGGGAACCTGCCCCTGAGAAATTATTGGAGAAATTTCCCTCCCGCCTTGGAAAGAGGCAGAGATTTCTCCACCCGCAAATAAGATGGAGCATTGTGAAAGGCCATCGGGGCCTCCTTTCCTTGAATGGGGGAAATGGTCCCCAAGAGGATCAATGGGATCAGACGCATGAGTGGTGGGAACAGGATTAAGGGCAGCTCCTTGGAATTAGCTTTCTTCGCTGGACAGTAACAAGGAAGGGTTGAAGCCCCTGATCTTTGCAGTTTTCCGTTGGGCCTCTGTTGAAGGCTGCTAAGACCTGGGGTAACTCACAGGAAGATTGCAAAAATGCACTCATCAAGAAGGAGAGTCCAACACACCTCTGCAAGTGGTAAAGTGCATCTGGAAAGGTGCATCTTCCTCACTGGTGACCTGCTGGATCTGAACCCCAACAAGTGCAACCCTTCCATATTTCTGCTCCAAACTGCCACCTCTGGG